CAGATTTAGTTATAAGTTCAAGTATTTGTTTTCACCATGACGTTAGTCAGTGATAATAATCAATCTTTAGCCATGCCTACAGTAACACAATACCTACGGAAGGCCTCAAATCGATAGGAACAAAATTTACCTGAGCGTAAACGTGTTCGCACATCCTCCGAGTGAACGATAAAATCAAATGAGCGGAAAATACCTTATTAATTTGCTGCTCAACTTAAAGGCTTTTGTTGAGACGTATAAAAGACCATTGATGTAACTTCATCTGTACAAATAATGTGTAAAAAGGAATATTTCACCTTTTCATAAGGTGATCCAGATATATATATATACACAAACACACTCGATAGGGTGGAATCTCCAGTAGCGTAAGAACGTTAGGCTATTGACACTCTGATGGAAAACGATGGAATTTCGTATGGTGTTTTAATTATAATAATGAAAAAATATTAGTTTAAAAAATAGTTTTCGGAATGAATTTTTTTTTTCTATTTTATGAATATGAACTTGAAACAAAGCAAACACTAAATGATGCATATGATTTTTTAATAAATAAAAATTCATTTGACATTGACACGACCTTCACCTTTCTTCATACTTATTGGTGAGTTCATGTAAAGCACAGCTCTAATAATCCACATTTAGAAAGAGTTCAATTACTGATTTATTGGAAGCGATATATACGTCCTCCACTGACTCAGCGGTAAGCCTCGAAGGCTTATAACGCTAAAAAAGCGGTTTTCGATACCCGTGGTGGACACAGCATAGATAGCTCATTGTGTAGCTTTGTGTCAAAAAAGCAATATGTACTAGGTATACTTCCGAAAGTGTTCTGTTTCAATAGTAAATAAATCCAAAATTAAAAGAAACTAATATTTTTTTATTTCTTGCTTTTGAAGTTCATATGTCATGATGTATTGTAGCCTTCAGAGTGTATAATTTTCCTCGCCATGTTTTATTGACACCACGACAGTACAAATTGCAACGTTAAGCGTCCTTTATGTGACGTCATTTTAGTGTCTACTAACTGACTGATAGACAACACACTACTGTATAGTGGTGCGAGTGGTTAAAACAGATGACCCCTCCAGGCGGCCTTCGGTCCCCTTACGGGGAATAAAACAAATAACGTAATTTCAAAAAAAAAAAACGAAAAAAATAGAATGGGGGATGAATAAGTGAATAAATACTAGACTTTGTTACGTAACAAAACGCATATTTATATAAACAAAATAAATATGATTTACTTTCAACTTTCGCTACATACGTAGAATGTGTCGGAAAGTGATATTTAATTTCATAAAAAAAATTACTGAAGGTTCCCACATATTGTTACACCTTTTATATTTAGTGACAAGTCACTTAATCACTTGGTTTAGCAGTCTTTGTGTGTTGCTGTGGTTTCATATGCTATATGATACAACAAAACTTATGTTTTACAGGGCCCGGCATGGCCAGGTGGTTAAGGCACTCGACTCGCAATCTGAGGGTCGTGGGTTCGAATCCCTCTCACACCAAATAT